GTTTCCAATAATTAAGGATATTAAGGAAGAAGTAAAATTATGTAGGACGATCAAAGCATCCCCCATTTACACAGGGGGTTTGTTTGCAATTCGAGTTCTCAGTTCCGTGTGCCAGCTAGGCGGTTACCAAGTTTCGAGTGAGGCTTCATCCTCACAAACTCTAAAGCGATTGTGACCATCTACCACTGACCCACCGAACAGCACTCACCACGGTCGGATCGCGGTCACTAATTGGTTGTCAGTGCCCGACTGATGACCAGCTTCAAAAATTCGACCAATCCTTGATGACTGTAGCTTCAATGCAAACTAAAGCTGGTTTCAACTTGCTATCTATAGTTGGATTTAACAGTCGGCATGGACAGTAAGTAGAGCGCAATAAGCTGCACGTAGGAAGAAAAAACAGTTGAATGACTTGCATTCGGACATTGCTACAGTTGCCTGAAGTCGAAGTACGATTGTGACCGCGATGATTCAAGCATGAAGTGAACAGATTCCATGGCCTTGTCTGGCCACGTTGCTCATTTGTATCAATCTTGAACCCGATAGAGAAGTATTTACTTAGTTTTCCATGCACCACTCACATCCTGCGAAAAATTAGCATAAAATAACGTAAATGGAACCAATCGGCGGTTTAAGCAAATCCACAAACAAAGCAGTATGCGAATCATGTCAAGGATCTTTGACAGATTCGGAACTATACTCATCATTTTCTATGCGGTTCAGAGGTAATGCGTAAGTAAAGAATTTGCCGAACTATTTAATAGTATGAGTGAGTAATGGGTTGAAATGATTTACCTAAACTTCGTCAAGTGATATCGCTGTCAAGATTTCTTGACTGAGCAAAGAACACCAATGATCTCTTCTGCTAAGGTTTCAAATGAAAGTGAGAATATAGAAATGATCATCGCTGCACTAACCCTGGAAACCGGGGGTACACTGGCAGGTAAAGAGGCGTTCTGACGAGGAGTGGATGTCTATGCAATCGGCACCATTGAGACAGGGCGTCTCAAGGCATGTACGAAGGACCCGCTCACACCGGATACCCCCAAAACCGGGAGGACAGCGACATCGCACACCTTCCACTGCGTCGATGCACTCACCACCGTTTTGGCACAAATCCGCTCTGCACGTCTCTACCTGCAATCAGAGTACGGGAAAGACCAAATAGGGAAGCGCTTAAGTAAGCCTGTGAGTGTGGCCGTCAAGTCATTCAAAAGTGGGATTGAGCCCTGTCGTGAAGCTGATTATTTTAAAACTCCCCTATATTTCGGGGATGGCGACATCTTCATCAGTTAGCGAGCCTGATCAGTAAGTAATTGGGAGAATTTGACAAAATAGAAAGTTTGCCCGTAGTTGATTATGCATGAATGCCAGTGTTCCCTCTACTTTCGTTATCCTCACTCTGCGTTCTATTGGATGCTGATGATTGTGGTGTATACAAATACTACGCATGCCAAAGACAAAGTGTAATACGATAGAAACAAAAGTACGGAAATAATGACCCATCGATGATCTAGTACGACTTGGATTTTGAAATAAAGCATATGGCTTTGGCCTTAAATAAATGGGTAAGTAAATTTCCTGGCCTGAACAAAATACAACTGATTTTTTAATAGTCGTAGGGCATTCCTTGCATCAGGATTTGAGAAGCTAACGAGATCTAAGTCAACTAACTTTCATTTCTTGCCAGTACTTCTAGAGAACATCAGCTTCTGTTGTTAATGCTCACAACAGACTAAGGGAGTTTATGAAAGTGAATCGATGAACCAGGCATGCTGTCAATACCA